ATTAGAACTAAGATCAGATATTGGAGTACTTGTATACAGATTTTCTAGAAAGTAAATGGTCTATGAAGAAAACAAAAAACAAAAATGGAGAATTTTTATACCTTCAAATTTATTTAAAGGAACGATTTCTCGATCAATATCATCCATAATAATATCATTCGATTATTGATTATTACCTAGAACTAATTTTTAATAGAAAAATTCATTTGTCTCAAAATTGTTACAATGAATTACCGCCGCTTATGGTTCATCAAATTGTTGCTAGTAACAACATTCATTCTCAATTATTCTATAATTAATTGATTTAAAAAGATTAAATTTCATTTTCTACTTTAATCAAATATTTTTCAAAAGAGGATTTGATAATTTAAAGTAAAAAAAAAACTAGATGGCGCTATTCTGCAATTTATCTATTTTATTATTAACTAAGTCTGAATGAAACAATATTAGATCAATTAGTATCATTCACACTGTTACTAATAGAGGTCTGAAATCTATATCAAACAGAGTCTTTTATTTTTCTCATTACTTTTTTTCCTTGCATGAGAATAGTAAAACTATAATAACACATATGCATTAAAAAGAAATAAATATAAAAGGATGTTACCTGTAACTTTGTCCAATATATTCATCTGTTCTAATATCTTATATTCACGATGACTTTCGTTATCTATTACTGTTACTATTTACTTGATGGATATGCTCTTTTTTTTTTGTCTTATATATTCTTTTTTTTTATTGCGGTTAAAAAAGCAAGAAAAAAATGGCAGTAACGACTACCGTTTTTCCTTTGGCATCATTCCTATTGTGGCCTTATATGACATCATAGTATCGTTGGCTTTGAAAGAATGAGAGAGAGAATGAAAGGTAAGAAGACAATACAAAAAAGCAAGGTTTTGCAAAAAATAAAAAAAGAAAATTTATGTGTTTATCTACAAATTTGTTGTATTGATTTACAAGTAAATGAAAATCCATTTGTTAGAATAACATTGAAATATTTATAAAAGATATAAAAAAAAATGTCTTGTAATATTTTTATGTCGTTTATATTAATAATAATTTTTAATATTTTTACAATAGAAAATATTATATTGAATAATTGATTTCTATCTGGTAAATTTTTTTTTCAGCATTAATTAAAATTAAAAGACATTAGCAAATTTACAATATTCTTCAATATTACTTTTTCTTTCCTAATATAAATATTTAAATCATTGATAGAGTTGATTATTTTGTCATTTTGATACAAATTGATTTCATGATTTGAAAAAAAAGTTATAATAATGTCTAGTATATTTATTTTATTATAAAATCAAATATTATAAGGATGCTTATTCTGAAAAAATATTATCAAAGAAAAAACAATACATATAATAAAGAAATAACGCATAATAGATTTTTATTTAAGTTTGATTTATAGTTTAAAGTAAAATTTCACGTGATACAGATATATTTTTCAGTTCGATAATGGTCATATTAGATGAAGCATCGTTGGTCGATGATAAAAAAAAGTGTATTAATTCTATCCGTATCATCATCAGAGCAACCAGTGAATATTTCTGCGATTTCACGAGATTTAATTATATGTAACATTATGCGTATTTCAATGAAACTTGTCCGATGATGGCACTGCCCAAAGGTAAAAATCAAGTTGAGCCGTATTTAGAGTACTTCGTCGATAAACACGTCCTCCAAAGAATCTATCCTATATATTTGAATAAACCGATGAGTAACTCCATAAAAAATATTTCATCTGAATTACTATTAATATGTCTTTAGTGTACAAAGTGTAATCAATTTGAATAATTATGAGTCCGTCTACATACAACTTGAAGAACAAGATTTCTTATATAATCTGTTCTATTAACTCCATTGGTTTTAAACTGATTAGTTAAATACGTTGTGAGACACAACTTCATTATCTTTGTAGCTAGAGCGGATTTATCTTCATTATTGATATTTTCATAAATTTGCGCACAATTTGACTGAAACATCTCATCATTTGTTTGCTCAGTGTTATCAAGAATCACTACCGATGATTGTATCAAGTGACGAATTCGTTCGTCACTGCATTCTTCCGTTGCTGTAGTTTTCCCATATTTATTAATTGTTGTAGTGGAGCACATTCATATTTAAGGAGTAATTCAACAATTCCAGCATGACCATACAAAGCAGCTGCATTTAATACTGTGCTACTATTAGATTCTATACGATTTATTTCCTTCAATCTCATTGTTGTTAACACTTCTTTGATCGTATCAATATCATCAGAACGACATGCAAGATAATCGTCTTGAACCAAATGGAAGTACTTCATTACATGCTGCATCTTTCTATGATCATAAAACCATTGTATAAATACTTCTTGTAAATGGTGCAAAACCATCGATAATCAACAGATATAAAATGACATCATATGAAAAAGCAGCAAATTCATTCATTATTTCATTGTCCATTAAATACAAATATAAACCATTTTGCCGATGATGATAATAATAATTGTTGTTTAATCAATGAAAAAAAAAAGTCCTAATAAATAATCTTGATTACTTTTAAGATAACGAATATATATTGTCATTATAAATATTGATAAAAGATTGATTGAATAGATTAACATATTAGAATGAATTATTTCTTTCTTTATTATTATTATTGACAATTAACATAAATAAAACTAATTATTTATAATCAACACAATGTAATTATTATAACAGATAACACATTAAATATCTTAAAAAATTTTCATTAAATGATTTATTTTATCTTAATCAATAATTAAACATATAAATGACTTTTTTCTCTTTTTTCAATATGATTTTATTTTATATTTAATAAGATTTTGTTAAAAATAATGTATTCTTTATTTTCACTTTTATTTTTAATTAATTCGATTTACGTTTATTCCTACATATATATTACTCGGTTGTCTTTCAAACATTTTTCTTAGTCAAACTGTTAGCGTCAACAGATGACACTAGGTCGACGCTAACTTATTTGAACGAAATTCAATCGTTTCCTTCCTCTTATTTTCTCATTTGTCGGTGTCTTCCTTTTCGTTCTGTAGTTAATGGGATTTTTCTCTTTCGTTCACTCTATAGTTAGATTTTTCTTTTTCGTTCTGTCTTTCTCTCTCTTTCGGATTTTCTCAGATTTTAATATCGTTCAGTTGTTATTTTGTTTTGGTGGAGAGCAGTAGCATTTAATACTACCTCTCTTGTGTGTTTTGCCTTAATGAAATAAATTATCCATCCAAAAACGATCTTACATCCCTCCTCAACTGATCACGTAGCTTTGAACATCAAGGTAAGTCCCCTTATATTTTATTATAACATCATCTATAACGTTGACCTAACACAAACAGATCAATCTATGAAAATAAATGAACAGCCAGTTATTTGGTGGTTTTTCAAGGGTTCAGACCACATGGACATAGAGGAATCCAGTAACTGAAAGAAAGATAATCAATTATTCATGAATAGTATTATGTTTATCAAGAAAAAAAAATAAGATTTAATCATTTGATGTTGTTTAGAAAGAAATTTTGCATTCAAATTCTTTGTTGTAGATAATTTCAATTTTTAAACAGGCATGAATATTTTAATGTATGAACGTGATCAATTCATTACTCATTTTGAAAATTTATCTAATGAAATTTACTACGAAGTATTTGATTATCTTAGTACTTATGAAATATATATGTCATTTTCAAATCTTAATCGTCGTTTTAAACAAGTTCTTCAATCATCATCTATGTTGTTTAATATAGAACTTAGGTATTCAGCTAGGGGTGTCAGTTTCGGATTCCTAGAAACGGGAACCCACTTGGTTATTCATTTCTGTGCATTTTTGAACATACTGGAGTGCTTATACATACTTTTTATTTCGTTTTGAGACGAGTCACTCCGGGTTCCTGGGAATGGGAACCCGGTTAAAAATTCATTTCTGTGCATTTTTGAACACACTAGAGTTCATAGACATACTTTTTCTTTCGTTTTGAGACAAGTCTCTCTGGGTTCCCGGGTTCCCAAGAACGAGAACCTGTATCGAGTTCCGGGTTCCCAGGAACGAGAACCCACACCGGGTTCCCAAAAACTGGGAACCCTATCTAAACTTCTATTTTAAACGATTTGCAACAGGGTTCCTTATTCTTAGGAACCCGGTGCGGGCTACCGTTCCTAGGAACCCGGAACCCGATGCGGGTTCCCGTTCTTGGGAACCAGGAACTCGATACAGGTTCTCGTTCTTGGGAACCCGGGGAGACTTCTCTCAAAACGGAAGAAAAAGTATGTCTATGAATTTTAGTGTGCTCAAAAATGCACAGAAATGAATTTTTAACCGGGTTCCCGTTCCTAGGAACCCGGAACCCGCTACGGGTTCTCGTTCCCAGGAACCCGGGAACTCGGAGTGACTTGCTCAAAGCGAAAGAAAAAGCATGTCTATGAACTTCAGCGCGTTGAAAAATGCATAGAAATGAATAATCAAGCGGGTTCCCGTTCCTTAGGAACGGAACTCCAAAGAACGGGAACCCTGACGCCCCTACCAATGAAGTTATACAATTTAACTTATATTTCGATCAATATATGTTATTTACAATTTGAATATTTAGAAATATTTATTAAAAAAATTTATTCGAAATTAAAATATTTATACATTATGGTACAATCTCAAGATATACAATTTCTTGCAGCTCGTCGATGGGAATATT